CTGGATGCAGGAGGTGATGACGTAGCCGTCTGCCACCGGGATCACGTGAGAAAGGCCTCCAGTCACACCCTGCATCCAGAAAGTGCTCGGAGTGCTTGCTTCAGTCGTTCTGGGCGCAAGGCCGTCGCCGGAATCCACGACCAAGCCAGTCAGGTTCGGGCTGCTGCCCTCGTACTGTTCCTCGGTAACCTGGGCGTCACTCATTCCAGCCTACTTGGAAAGCAGTTCCAAGAAACTGAGGCCCCATCCGCTTGAGCGTACAAGGCCAGAACAGCCTGCACGCCGATGTAGAGGCCATTGACCTCAACTACTTGGGGCCGTGCAGGCAGCGTGCAAGTGGTAGCATAGGTCAGGCACGTTGAAGGTCTCGAACCTTGGAAAGGCAGGGAGGGCCCCGCAGAGAACCAGCTTCTGCTGCATGAACCTCGCAGCACTCCTCTGAGGGCCTGGCATCATCTCCGCCATCAGCTCCCGGTTCTCTGGGGTGTTAAAGGGCGGCTCTGTGAGGAGGAAGTCCTCAGCAACTGTCGGGACACTTCAAGTCAAGGTGGTGATGGATGGTTCACGGTCTTCATGCTGCTTTCGTGCAGTCCGGTCACGTGATCCTCTGGAATGCAGCGCAAGCTGCGAAAAATCGCCTTGCTCGGGTGAGGAGGACAACTGCTGAATCCTCAACGACCGAGAGGCCCCGAGACAGAAAGTCCATGACTCCTTACATGAGAATAAGAAACAAACTGTTCTTAAATTGTAAAAAACCTGGACCTATACACTAAGCACCCCTGAGCTCTCAACACAATCCGGTTAGGGCTGAAGCTTCCCATCGCAGCGGGCCTGCTGCAGGAAGCGCTCCATGTCGTCCCAATGCTCTATCCTGCAGAGGGGCATTTTGTGGTTTGGTCAAAGCACGCGCACCCGGCAACCGTATCTCAGAACACACCCCATGTAAGCATTCTCATTCATGACCTTCTCCAGACGTCTTGGCAAACATCCTCTTGCTATCAAACTCCCTGAGGTGGTTTCATGGTTCTACGGCATGGCGCTCATGGGTGGTTGAGGATGTCGAAGTTGAACGGATGAATCAAAACAAACGTAGAAGCAGTAGCAGTAGCAGGATCAGTAGGAGCAGGAGTAGGACTAGGAGTAGGAGTAGGAGTGGTAGTAGTAGTAGTACCCACTCGTAGTAGTAGTAGTAGTAGTAGTCGTCGTCGTCGTCGTCGTCGTCGTAGTAGGAGTAGTAGTAGTAGTAGTAGTAGTAGTAGTAGTAGTAGTAGTAGTAGCAGTGGTAGCAGCAGTAGTAGTAGTAGTCGTCGTCGTAGCAGTAGTATTTCGAAGTGGTATCAGTATTCGTCGTAGTAGTAGTATAGTCGTCGTCGTAGTAGTCGTTGCAGTCAGTAGTAGTCGCCGTAGTAGTAGTAGTAGTCGTCGTCGTCGTCGTAAGGGTTGTACTTCGTAGTGGTAGTAGTACTAGTAGTAGCAGCAGTAATAGCAGGAGTAGTGGCAGTAGTAGTAGTAGTAGTAGTAGTAGTAGTAGTAGTAGTAGTAGTAGTAGTAGTAGTAGTAGTAGTAGTAGTAGTAGTAGTAGTAGTAGTAGACACTTGCCAAGCCTTCCCTTGGACACGGGCGAGGAAAGCAAGTAATTCGGAGAGTCCTGGCAGGCGGCAATTCGGGCTTAGCATCTGGGGTGCAGCAATCCAGGCTTGGGTTGGGATGCTTCGCGATGACGACCCCAGCATGAAAGCATAACAGAAATCCAAGTTGGGGGCTCGGGATGTGTTCAAGACCGAAAAGAAATCTGTCCGTAGCGGCGCAGTGCACCGCTTGGATGTTGTCCACAGTTCTGGTCTAGCATTGCCTTGTACCGGCACCACGTATTTCGCCTCTTGATCCAGGTCACCTTGCTGATCAATCTGACCATTTAAGTCTTCAGTCATCCTGTCCTTACTTGCAAGGGCCCCGAAAGGCATCTGAACCTTTGAGGTAAAGCACCCCTGCAAGCGAGAAACCATGAATTTTGAGATCCTTCTGTTTGGGTGCTTGAGCATGAAAGCCCCGAAACTCAATTGCGGGTATGGCCGAATCGAATGCGCCAACTCCCAAGAATGCCGGGGCGAACCTTGAGCTTGTAGGCCTGCCAGCTGGTGCCGTGGCAGCTTCAAGGTTCGCGGATCATTGCGGCTGCGCACACGCAACTATGGAACCTCTACGGATGACCATGGTAGCGGCCACACGTGAACGGACCCCAAGCCGAAGTCACCTCGTCACCGATGTAGAAGTCTGCATCAGCCAGCCCTTGCGCTGATGGCGTCTGGCTGATCTGGCTGATATGTACACCTGGCTTGGGGCTTGGCGCATGGAGTTTAAGTTATTATGAAAATGCATGAAGCAGCATGGTGAAGAACCGGACAGAGCGTAGGCGTGGCTTGAGGCCCAAACTCCCGGTTGACTTCTTGGCAGCATTGGCCACGACAGTGGGGATCATGAAAGTGGGCTCCTCGAAACACGTCGCACACAGCTTTCGGTGAGACAGGGACGGACAAAGTCACTCTCCCCCGGTCTGAGACAGAAACGATGTTGCCAGCAAAGCCCATCTTGGTACATCCGGTACCGATGTCGATGACCACCGGCGGAGTCCTGCAGCCCCGCGCACTCTTCGTCGTCTACGCAAGCTCCAAATTTCCCGCCTTCGCGCCATGGTCTCACTGACGGGCTTGGGGCTCTGCAAAAGACCTGCTCGCATACGCAGACAGTACAGCACAAACCAAAGGCATGCCATCGCCAGCTGCAAGTTGCAAGCCGTCTGTCTCAGCAAATTCCGAGAACGATTCAAGCACAATGCCTCAGCTCAGGCCCATCAGCGACTGACCGAAGGTGTGGGACATTGGATTGCTCTCCTCGGTACTGAGAGTCCTTGTGTGACTTGAGCTCGCTCAGTTCCGGCCTTCGGCCCTCCAAGGAGTGTAGGTGTGATCCTGTTGAACCTCGTGTTTCTAGTCTGCTCGTTGCAGCTGCTCTCCTTGAAGTGGCTATCGGGTTCTGGGACTTGGGCCTGGCTCGGCTATGCTTGGCTATGCTTGCCTCGGGGCTGCTGATGTCTTTTCACACGTCACGCCATCAACGCGGTATGCAAAGCCTGAAGCACGAAGCTGCAGGAAGAGTTGAGATATCAAGCTGTGGACATGGACAGGCAACTGCCTACTCTCTTCTCTGCATTTTCGTCTGCCATGCACGATGCAGACTCCTCCCACTATGACATCTTTGGTGAGATGATGCAGAGTGCTGCACCGAATAATCCTGCCACGATGCCAGCCTGGGTGTTTCAATTTTCGACACATCCGCCAGGGGGAAGGACCATGGATGCTCATGAGCTCTATGCTGATTGCAAAGAAATTTCTCGCGGTCTCTGACACAATTGACGGCCTGTGCTGAGGAGCCAAGATGCACCGCCAAGGAGTTGAAGTGTTTTGCGGGATCTCGACGAATCCCGCAGCTCGAGGCCTTCCTGCCAGCGGTCCGGCATGTCTGCCCAATGGGTTTCTTGCAGATCCCATTGAACACGTCACGAGTAAGGGCAGCATCATCATTCTCATCGCCATGGACATGCTCATCACCATAACCATTTCCACCATAGCTTTGCCACTATCACCAGCAGTCACCATCACAGTCACTATCGCCACAGCACCCACCTCTCCCCTTGCATCTCGCACAAACCGCCACCCCCACCGACCCGAACGCCACACTGTCACTCGCAATCATCATCGTCTTCTTCTCCTTTATCATCGCAGTCGCCCTCGTCATCGTCATCATCGCCGACATCGCTATCATCACTATCATCGTCATATCATCATCATCACCATCATCATCATCATCGTCATCACCATCATCAAAGACATCATCATCGTCGTTGTCATCATTTTCGTCACCAACGTCACCTTGTCACTATTGTGGATCGTCATCATCACTGATTACCATTATCATCAACTCGCATCAGCACCATGATTTCCGCCACCACCAGAGCCAACATCACCTCCACCACCCGCGAGGGCAAATCTTTTGTCTGGGCTCCTTCCGAGCGAACACATTGCCATCAAGGCTGCTGAAGACGCGTGTCACCACGACATCCTCTGCGCCCGGCCGCTTCAAAGTGTAGCCTGTTGAATCAAGGATTCTCTGGAGGCTGAGGTTGAAAGGCTTCTGCGGGCACTTTGGCAAATGGAACAACTCATCTGCAGCCGGGATGCATTCGCGCAGGCTGCCCTGAGACAGCAACAGAACAGCATAGTCATGCGGCTCCCGCTTCTCATAGGCTCACGTCACATCTGGAAAATCACGCACAACGGTGCCTCTGGAAGGACTGCGAAGCCTTAGTTAAAGCACTCCCAGCTTCCAGGTCCAGAAATTTCGGTGACTTTGACGATGTACTTCAACTTGCAGCTGCAAGCCGGGTTGCTCTGTAGAGAGTACCAGCCATCTCCCCGCTGGAAAAGTCTACACTTCACCGTCAGCTGCGACGTGCCCTCCGACAAGTCTTCAAAGGCAGAGAGCATGAACTTTTTCCGCTTGTTGCGGGTCTCTTTCCTAGGTTGCAACAGCGAAAAATGCCGTGCCAGATGCTGCACAAGAGTTCGACCAAGAAAGGCTGTCGTCCTGTCGTCCTGTGTGTAACACGCTGCTCCATCATACCGAGCTGCTCGACTTCCGCGCCGCCAAGCTCGATCGTGGTGCAGTTCTCTCCAAACAGAGTCCTCGGATTTGTTGTGGTGCAGGAGACGGCAAGGATGATGAGTTTTCGGCGAAAAGTGACAGAAACCAAGCCAAACCACCTGTCCACAACTTTCAGGATCTTGTCCTCCACACCTCCGATCGTAGTCAAAGCACAGGTGCAGAAAGCAGGTATGCGTGGCTGCTGCTTGGCATGCGATTCCACTGATTAGGGCAGATGCTCTCTGCATTGCCGAGCGGCTGATGTGCAATTCCACAGGAACGTGATCTATGATCCTCGCCATGACCGTATGTATATGACCACATACGGAGCTCTTCGAAAACAGTGAAGGCCCCAGTGTGCTCCTATGCAGATACTGATTTAATGTATCGCGAACATAATGGCGACATTGATTCAATGTTCGTGCAATTGCCGGTACCATTATTGCCACTGGGCTGGTGAGTCATTCCCATTCCTGCTCCTGTCACTTCATACAGTCAGCATCCACCTTACCCTCACACTGATGCACATGATGGCGGCGATGAGGAGGACGGCGACGCGGCGACAACGATGACAATGAGGATGGTGATGGCGGCGATGATGGTGATGAAGATGAAGATGAGGATGAGGAGAATTATGGTGGTGATGATCATGATGACGATGACGATGATGATCATCGTTACGGTTTGGAGAACGACAATGACGTTGCTCATGGCTTTGTGATGCGAAGTAGGACCGCATCGACCTGTTCGTGTGGGGTGATTGCTGACCTTGGTAGGATTCATACAAACCCCACTGCTCGTTGCTATTACTTAGATCACGATCACGCAGATTAGTAATAGTATGAATCGTGCCAGTCTTTTGTCGCATTGAAGCATATTTTATCTAATCAGGAGATGAAGTAGGAAACGGTCATCCTGCTCTTGTTTTCCTGAGCTTCCACCTCATTATCACTGAGACGAATATTACCCACAACTTTCCGGAACTGCTTTTTTGATGTCATGCCATCATGCCGGCTCCTGGCCACAAAGCCAGGCAAGCCCAGCCCGGCGAAGTAAGGCCGCATGGACTCGCTCTGCGCCTGATGGAAAGATGCTGCTAGCAGCAGACCACAAAGACCATTGCTGCCATACGTGATGCTGACTCATTCCATATGATACTCGCATCATACTTGCTATGTTCCGTCCCAGCTTTTCATCGCGATTATTTTTTTGCAGAGTGGTGGAAAAGTCGGGCGTCAAGGGTGGGAACCAACATGGCGTGAGTCGAGAACATAGACGGGAGAAGTCGGGAACCTGGTCGCGAGTCGGGAAATGCAAGTTTGCGAGTCGGGAAACAGCTTGCTGAGATTCACGAAACAGGAAAGGAACCACAAATGGCTATTGTCCAAAACATCCTGTTATTCCTGTTTGGAGGGCAACCCATTTTGCGAAATGCACACATGTTACAGGGATCGAAATTTGGGATAAGAGTTCTCAAAAAGGGACTCAAAACTGCAAGGGCAACCTGCCTTCTAAGCGCCTCTGGAGAAGAGCACATTCGATGTATTGTATGCTGCGTAGCCTCAGACTTCTAGTCCTCCTGCGAGTCCTAATCCCACCACGGCTACTACCAAGTACCATGACGAGGACCACTACCACGACCACAACCACTGCAACGACCACGACCACTACTACGGCAACCACTACTACGACCAGGACCACTACCACGACCACGGGCACGACCACTGCCACTCACGACCACAACCACCACCACAACCACGACCGCTACCACGACCACTACCACGACCACAACTATGACCACTACCACGACCACTACCACGACCACCACAACTACCACGACCACTACCACTACTCCTACATCTGCTACTCCTACTCTTACTCCTTACTCCTTACTCCTTACTCCTTACTCCTTACTCCTTACTCTTACTCTTACTCCTTACTCCTTACTCCTTACTCCTTAGTCCTTACTCCTACTCCTACTCCTACTCCTACTCCTACTCCTACTACTACTACTACTACTACCACTACCACTACCACTACCACTACCACTACCACTACCACCGCTACCTACTGCTACGCGTATGCCCGAAACTTGCCGTCTGTCCGCGACAACTGTGTCACAGTCACCGCGACCTCCTAAGCCCCCTTTTCACTGGGAGCGCGGTTCCCAACGGGCGCGGAAATCACCACAAAAACGAGATGCCAACAAAAAACAAGATTTTGGTTGAGAAACCTCAAAATCCTTAAACCCTGGAAGCAGATGTTTGTTATTATTTGAAGCCCAAAATCAAGTTGTTCATGCGGAAAGCTGGCAAACGCTAAACGCTGAAAGGAGATGTTGGTTGCGAAACCCCGAACCCCACATCGGGATGAAAACTGTGAACAGAAGATACTGGTTCAAAAACACAATGGTGGTCGAGAAACTCAAACCCCCAAAAGGGCACACCTGTCATTTCTGACTCCCTCTTTCTGTCATTTGTGACTCCCTACGTTCCTGGCTCTTGGCCAGGTAAATCCCCGTCATTTGTGACTCCCTCCGCCTGGCATCACCACACATCACCTCACCCGAAAGCGTTCTTCTTCATTGGCAGGCCTGTGATTTCTTCTCAAACAAGCGCCTGTCATTTGTGACTCCCGACCCTTTTGCCTTGCTTTTCAATGTTATTTTCACACAGCAACACGGGTCATCTGTGACTCCCCGCTTTTTCTTGCTCTGGCCATCTGTGACTCCCTACTTTTTCTTGTTTTGGACAGGTTTTCCTTTTCGGTCGAAGCTTCCTGCTGGATTCATTCCTTCGGGTCACTCCTTCAGGTGTTGTCTTCGATCCTTAGGGTTTTCCGTCTTCGGTGAAACGTTCTTCTTGGATTCATCCCTTAGGGTTTCATCTCTGGCTAACGGTTCATGCTGGATTCACTCCTTAGGGTTTTCGCCTTGGGTAACAGATTCCTGCTGGGTTTACTCCTCAAGGTTTTCGTCTTCGGTGAAAGGTTCTTCTTGGATTCACCCTTTAGGGTTTCATCTTCGGCAAAAGGTCCATGCTGGATTCATTCCTTAGGGTTTTCGTCTTCGGTAATAGAATGTTGCTGGGTACACTCCTTAGGGTCTCCGTCTTGGGTGAAAGGTTATTCTTGGATGCACCCCTGAGGGTTTCATGTTCGGCAAAAGGTCCATGCTGGATTCACTCCCTAGTGTTTTCGTCCTCGGTGCTAGATTCACTCCTTAGGGCTTTGTTTTCGGTAATAGGTACCTGCTGGGTATAGTTCTTAAGGTTTTCGTGTTCGGTGAAAGGTTCTTTCTTGGATTCACCCCTTAGGGTTTCACCTTGGGCAAAAGGTGCCTGCTGGATTCACTCCTTCGGGTTTTGTCTTCGGTAATAGGTTCCTGCTGGGTTCACTCCTTTCGGTCCTCGTCTCGGGTGAAATGTTCTTCTTGGATTCACCCCTTAGGTTTTCATCTGTGGCTAAAGGTTCCTGCTGGGTTCACTCCTTAGGGCCTTCGTCTATATATTATATATTATATTTTATATATTATATATTATATATTATATATTATATATTATATATTATATATTATATTTTATATATTATATATTATATTATATATATATATATATTATATATTATATATTATATATTATATATTATATATTATATATTATATGTTATATATTATATATTATATGTTATATATTATATATTATATATTATATGTTATATATTATATATTATATATTATATATTCTACAGTCTATATTCTGTATTCTATATTTTATATTCTATATTATATACTATATATTATATTATATTATATATTCTACATTATTTATTATATATATACATATTAGATATTATATATTATATATTATATATTATATACTATATATATATTATATATATTATATATATTTCTATATATTCTTATATATTATATATATTTATATAATGTATATATATTTATATATATATATAGTATTATATATAAAAAATTAATATATATTATATGATATGTATATCATTATATGTTGTATATTAATGTTAGATATGATTTATTTGTGATAATTATATATTATATCTTATATTATTACATATACATATTATCGATTAGTATATATATATTATATATTATATTATTAATGATTTATAGTTATTACAATTATATATTAATATGATTAATATTAAGATTATATATTATATAATTATAAGATTTATATTATTATATATATATATATATATTATAATATATTTTATATATTATATATAGTATATAATATATTAAAAATGATATATTATATATCATATCATATATATTACATATTAACAACTCATATGTAATATACGAAAATATTTGACATTCAGAATTTATATGTTATTTATTATATACTATTTATCATGTATTCTATGCTATTTTATATATACTACATACTAAACATTATATAATATATACTGCATATTATATATTATTTTTGATATGTTGTATATCTTATACTGTGCATTTTATATTGTATATCTTGTGTTGCATGTTACGTATTATGCATTATATATGGTACATGATATAGTATATATTTCATATTATAGATTAAATATATATTGTCAAATATATATATCTTTAGACTTATATATATATATATAAATATATATTATCTTATATATTATATATTACTTCTATATGGGAAGCAAGCATCTGGTTGTGCGAAAAATACACCCCTCCTAGGGGAAAAACACTACTTTCATGCGAAAGTGCACCGCGCCTGGGAAAAACTGCATTTTCAGCCAAAAAAATGCACCCCGCCGAGGGAAAACTAGGATTTCTTAAAATTAGCACAGCGCCTAGGAAATATTGCAGATTCCGGCAAACTGACTACAGTCATTTGTGACTCCCGGTTTTCCGTTTCAAAGATCAAAACAATCGAGTGCATGTGCTGGCATGTACCAAAACCCTGGAATGGTCTCCATTTTCAGCCGTTGAAACACCTGTCATTTGTGACTCCCTGGTCGGCTGTTGGACAACAAGGTTCGTGAAGACAAACGTTCAAGAACGTCCCAAGAGCCTAGGGAGTCACAAATGACCAGCATGCCCCCAAAAAGGGGTTCGTTGAGAAAGCGAACCATAAAACCGAATGTTGGTGACAAACCTAAACCCTACAAAGAGATGTTGCTCGAGAAATCTAAAGGGGAGAATGCTGGCTGCTTACGCACCGAATGGCCATGAAACTGCTCGGACCTGAAACAAACAAAGTTGGCCTAACTGACACCGACAAAACCCTTGAGATGTTACACTGTACTGATGACAATTGATGCCTGAGTCTTCAAATGCATGATTTGACTGCGGCCACCCAACACTGCCTGTGACAAACCCCCAAGTTTCCTGACTCAGGTAGCACCCATGACAACATGAGCATGTTGAACCGTGAGACGGTCAGCAACATTGCTTGAACCTCCTGGATAATCAATTCTTCTATTCGTGTCGATGCAAGAAGCCACATCCCATCACTGCTGCGGCTTGATGGATCGAGCTCATTGCATGAGAACATGTCGTTGTACCGACAGCCTTCTCCAGGCGCCATCTGCCGACAGGACGGCGTTGCTCCGTCGGCTCGCCTCAGTGAGACCAAGCTTGCCCCAGCACCGACCCAACATGAAGAGATTTCGTTACGAGGCCGCTGCATCGCAGCACAGACACACTGGATGTTCCAGCAATGATTGCAGCTGCCAGCGGGTAGCGAAGGGGAAGCCATCTCTGTTCCGAAGCTTCTTTGGCTCTGCACCTTCAGGCATCGTTCGGTACCATGTATAGGGAACTTCTGAAACCGCTTTAAGCTAACGACGGGTTAGCCAAAATCTACAGCGAGGCAGTGCCCCTTTTGTTTGGTCGAAGCCCGAACTGCGCCCGGGCACACAGCCCCGAGAACCGGTTGTGCTGGGATGTGCACCTCTGTGTTCCCCAGCCTCAGGTCAACGCTCGGTTGGGCGAGTGCCGGCCCACGAAGTCGGGGGAGATTGTGATTAAACAACTGCGCAGGAACATGCCTGCACCCAACAAGCGGCCACTCAGAAGCCCGGCGGCAGGCGAAGTGCTGTCGTCAGCCCGGGGCGTCGCCAGGTGTGGACACCCTGATATATTGCTCTCGGGTCCCTGGCCCCTACACCCCCCGCCCAACGGTCTGCCCCCCCTCCCCTGCCCCCATCCACCGGCCCGCAAACCAGAGCGATGGAGAATGATCCCACTTCATCACAGAGTGGAGAGCCTCAGAGCAGGGACAGCGGCACCATTTGCAAGGGGAAAGGGCAACATCAAGTTTTCTAGTATGGCAATGAGCACGTAACGATGACACTAACAAGCGGCTGCAACCATACCTCTGTAGAACACACTGCCCCTCACAGGCGTGGGGGGGTGCCAACCAAAAAGACAACAGGCTCCACCGAGGGGGGGGGAAGGGAACTACCCGCTTGATAGGCAAGGGGAAGGGGGGTTTCAACTCGCATTTGGAGGCCCCCCCTCAATTCATACATTATGTCCTTGGGGGTTAGTAGGGATGGAGAAATGTATTTCGTAGGGGTTTTGGACGTTCGAAGGAAAAGAAAGTCTCAGCAAGCAAGTGCTTCGCGGGCATGGTGCACTTTGTTTTGCAGCTGCCATGCGGACCTTGTCACTGAAGATGCAGTCGAATGCTCTCTGTACGGCCAGCATTGCTACAAAACTCGCTCATCTCAGCACTTCTCGGAGCAAATTTGCGAACAGTAATACACTACACATATCCGAGGATATGTAGCAGGTCGTACTCGATAAGGCACCATGGACCTAGTTCGGGGAGGCTTTCGGGAAGACTTTGTGGAAGTAGTCGGACTAGTTAGGATGCCTGAAATACAGCTCTGGAGGATTAGTTTGGATGCCTGACACGCAGCTCTCGGGTTCGTCTTCACGGCACATCCCCCGGCAGGAAGATTGTATTTCGGGCGGGGGGGGCGTGAAATACATTCCGGGGCCCTGCGCCCCTGCCAGAAGGTCCGCCTACGTGTAGTGGTTCGTACTGGATCACATATCACTTCGGTTCTCGCGGTAGCCTCGCAGTGAAGGAAAATCTATGTAAACCACACCTATTGCCTGTGAAACCTCCTACCACTGACAGGACCTTTGCACAGGGAGAGGTTTGAGGTCAGGCAAGATTGTATTTCGGGAGGGGGTGGGCGAAATGCAGTCTACCACGTCTTATACAAGGGAGCAGGACTTCGTTCTCGGTGTGGTGGGGTTTGGGATGTGGCTTTTTTTTTTTGTTTAACCCCTCTTTTCCGACTGCTCCGAAGGTTAGCAAGAACACCAAGTTGGCGGAGGGACTGGGAAGGGAGGCTCGCTTTTGTGGGGATTCACCACCATTACCACCAAAATGACCCAGTACTGGCTAAATCCGACAACGGCTTCCCATATTCCCGATTTCGTTCCATTAGAGATTAGGGTTCAAGTAGGGTGATACTACTGCGGACCCTTTGCATCTTGCGCTTTTTTGACCCTCCCCGGAAATACATTCTGGAAGCCGTGGGATTGTATTGGGTAGACGTACGGGCCCCCCGGAAATACATTAGTTGGGGCCGGGTGTGGCAAGGGGGATACTATGGGGCGGGGGGAGGGGGGGTGCAGCAGCAGCGCTGCATCAGATATGGCATTCGACTCGTACCCGTAGGAGTCGAGGCTCAAACTCGATCTCACCGGAGCCATCCGACCAGGGGCGGCACGAGAGAGTAAGCGGGCGGAGGCTAGTCAGTAGAGCAGATCACCACCGCCGCTCGACCAACAGCCCGAAGTGTCCTCAGTTCAAGCGATGCGGCGGGGTGTCTCAAACCACATGCCCATGATCTGAGCACCTCGATGGGCGTTTAATTGAGCTCTGAAGGGTGTGCTCTCCGGTCACCACTCAAAACCCGCCGTGTTCAAGCAGACACTGACTGCTTCTTGGACCTTCTGGAAAGGCCGTCTGCTACACCGCACTGCACGGCACCCATTTCAACCTTTCAACCTTTCCCCCCAGTCCCAGTCGGCCGGCGCCCTCGGCAAAGGGGGCGGCTCAAGACGAGTGAAACGTCGGCCTCTGAAGCCGACGTCTCCCGACGCGGGCGCTCGGGACGAAGGTGGCCACCAAGACCAGGGGCGAAAAGCACAGGGTGACAGGGTGACGTCCAAAATGCGCGGTGGGGCCGGATGCTTCGGCTGTCGACCGCTGAAGCTTGTGCATACAATTACATGCACTTGTGCATTCATTACCACACCGGTTGGACATGCTATTCACCTGTTCCGACCCACTCCTCCCCATCGCAGCGATGCGGCACCCACAGGCCCCATAAGCCAGCATCGTGGAGCGTCTGTTGAGAAAAGGAGATGCCAGATCTCAAGATCCCAGACCTCTCCAGAAAAACCGGCCTTGGCGGTCCTGACATTTGAAGCAGCAGCCGTCGCACAGGAGCCGGAGCCATGCGATTCATGCTAGCTGTAAACATTCGGCTCGTTCTATCCAGCTGGCTCTCTCTTTCAACAAATCCTCTCCGGTCGTGCTTCTCGGTGCTTCTTGTGCAGGCCCATGATCCTTTTGGGCGGCAGGCTGAGGTAGACACGCGCATCTCGCCCTTGAGCAGGAACTAGCAACGCGGGCTGTGCTCTGCATGTGAAGAGCGAGATCGAAATATTTAATATAGTAGTACTCATCAGGTCTTGGCCATCGAGGCTGCTTTGCATTGTTCAGTGAGCTAAGTAAGATGCGATTGCATCAATGGTTGCATGTCATTCCTCGCTGCCATTGCACACATGCCGGGCAATAAATCGTACAAAGACACGGTACGCCGGACTATCCGATATCACATATGATGTTGAGGTCGGGAGAACATGCAGTTGTCATGCCGCATGCCGTGCAAAGCTGCTGAAAATTCCGCTTCGAAAACTGGCGTGAAACATGCTCGAATCCCGCTTGTAGAGACCACGGAACGCAACATCCTTGTCAAGGATGCTCTGGGCTCAATGCGCTTTCCGGATACTTATGAGCCGTGTTTCCGAATCCATGCCGCGGCCCCTTAATGCCTGAGCTCTAAACCGTGATAAAGAAGCCAAGGACTGCAAGCCGGGCATCGTTTGCAAAGCATCGCTGTTCCTGCTAAGATCTAACCCTGAAGGCTCTGAGTAAGCCACAATTTCGCATCAGCCCCGTATCTCAGGATGGGAAACTAACCTAGGACACTCACGTGGGGTGCACATTGATTGGACTTCCGATTGCTGATAGTACTATTGCTGGTGCCAATACGAGTACTAGTGTTGGTACTGCTGCTACGACTAATCATACCTACTACGAATAAGCTGCTGCTACTGCTACTGAGTAGCAGTTACTGCTACTGCTACTGCTACTGCTGCTGCTGCTGCTACTGCTACTGCTACTACAGCTGCTACTACTACTACTACTACTACTACTACTACTACTACTACTACTACTACTACGACGGCTACTACTACGACTACGACGACGACGACGACGACGACTACCACCTCTAACTGCGGCTGCGGCTAAGGCTACCTGCCTGCTCCTGCTCCGACTCCGACTCCAACTCCTACTCCTCCTCCTACACCAGTACTGTTGTTGCAGTGGTTATAGTGCAGTCAACGTCAATTGAAGTGCCAACATGCCTGCTAATAATAAACTCCAAGACTGTCGACCACGTAAACCCTCTTCGTCTTCTCCTGTGTACCGTGAGATTGACTTCTGCTGTTCCGTCTTCAATACAACTAATTGGATGTGTTGTTCACTATTCGGATACACGAGTCTTCTCGTGGTAGCTGCTCCAACATCTACACGGAAGATTGAGTCACAGCCGCAAAGAAGAGGTCCTCTCAGAGTGGCCGGCTAGCTGGCATATTGCATGCTAGGACATGAGACCAAGAGCAGTGCCTCGGCTGCGCAGAAGGGTTCAGCCATTCAGATGACACTACTGCAGCGTGCTCTTTAAGAAAGAAGGGCAGGAAGACTGCAGGAAGCTTAATGACACATCTCTGTGCTTGAAGGCCCCACTCCTCCGATTGTGCGATGACGCAGGCCAGACGTCGTCATCCAACAATCTGCATCGAAGCTGTCGGAGGAGTCTCACGTTAGTTAGCTCAAGCGACAAGCTGTGGGTTCAACATGGTTCAACCGCAACTGTTTTGTCAATTTGCGCATCGAGTTTTTGTTGACCTGCAGGCTGGCAGACTATTGCTGTTATGCAAAGCTCACAGCGCACGAGAATGGTACACTATGCACGGAAAGCTGGCATGAAACGAGCCTGTGCTGAGAAGTCGAGCCCCCTGACACCCTTAACACCGAACGTTCCTGACACAGAACCCTCAAGAAGTAGCATCTTAAAAGTCTCGAGCCTTGAGCACCTCGTCCAGCTTGGACATTGCCTGAGATGTCGTCAAAGAGACCCTGTAAGGTATGGGAAAGCTTGAAATACTAAGCCAGCCAACAGTGACAGGAAGAATTTACATATATATATATATATATGCATATCATGTATGCACCGTCAACACGATGAAGTGCCAACATTATCGGCGCAGTAGAAGCCACCTGTGATGAGACTTAGCATACCTTGCAGCTGTAACGACTGTCACTGAGCCATGAGCCATCTTCATGTACTCAATCGGCTCCTGGACCTTCACCTGGGCCGTGAGACTGACTCCTGGAGTCTGGAGGTCGCGCATCCATTCAGAGTCACAGCTGCAGATCGGCGATTCTCAAGACTCGGGAAATCGGGTAGCGCAAGGCGTGCAGCTTCCTTTGAGCTTTCTATAGGGTTCCGAGATCCTCGCCTTCCCTTCCCCAGGCTGTCCGTACACGTAGTTGTTGGACTCACACGGGCATGCAAGAAACTCCAAGCTAAGGCTTCAAGCGGCACAAACCAGTATGATGTGGCAAATTTTCTGTGACGACGGGGACTAGCGACTGCAGTACATAGCAATTAAAGCTTCATGTCTTGAAGCGTAGATGGCGTAGACCACTTGCAGCGTGGGACTCACAAACCGGGCAGGGCTGCGTAGGAGATCTCATCGGCGACCTGAAGGTCCCTGGCCAGAGTTCGGAGAAACGTATCCATGAACATTGGGTACGCCTAGTCTACCATATCGCTTGCCACAGACATGCAGAAAGAGAGAGAGAGAGAGAGAGAGAGATGGAGAGAGAGAAAGAGAATAATGCTGCATGGGCACGATGCAATCTCGTCCATGAGCTCCAAGACTTGGATCTCTCCCAAGTTGTCACCCAACTGGCATGAGTGGGCTGCACAGATGCGTCGTGCGACAGAAAGGGGATTCCTCACACCTACATTGACCTTCGGGAATACACGATGCACCTCCAGTGTTTTGAAAGTTGCAAGATGGCCAGCAGGGACGGTTCTACATGCATTCGACCCTGGTGACGGTGTGTGAGGCAATCGCTGTCACGCATCTTATGAGGACATGTATGCTGAGAAGCCCAACACCGCGCGGCTTCTGCGGTGGCCCAGCCCGTCCAGGCTCAAGCTTGCCAGCCCATGCAAACGGCTCACCTACCAACTACTCCTCAGATGAATTCAAGTCCTTGAAAGTTTCCATCATCGCTCAAAGATGCCCAAAGACTCCGCTCCTTGTTGAAGAATCCCAAACAGCTACGCCGCTTTAGATTTTGGCCTCGAGGTGACAGACTCTGACCGGACCCAACAAGTCCAGGCTGCAGGCCTTCTTCAAGGTGTTCTTCTCCAGGCCGAGGTTCCAGAGGTAAGACACCGGAGGCGTCTCAGGGCCAGCGGCCAGCTTGTTGGGGTTTGCTGCGTCTGGGCTTCAAGCCTTGAATCCAGTTTGGCCGAGACCTTTCGGCTAAAGGCTTCCGGGCTTTGGGGTTTTGGAGCTGCAATATTTCAGCCAACCACAATGAAACGTGTAGCACCGGAGAATGATGGGGCTTGCCTGGTGGTGCTTCCAGATTTCGAATTGCAAGCTGAGACTCCCACATTCATCCTAGCAGGCCCTGCAGTTGCCCTTGAGCCCACCCCACTCAAACCTTCAGCACGGAGCGGACGTTGTCCCATTTCTGGTCCTGCCATCCAGCACAGCGAGGCTGCAGCTCCTAATGCCCTAAACAGGGCTTAGCGTATCGCCGAAAGTCCCTTAGGCTCATGTGGCGACTTTCAGAATGACATGCACTTGGACGGCTAGTGCTGGTGTGAGCCCAGGCCCAATCGTTCTCTCCTTCAGCATCTTTGGAAGAGGGTCCAAAAGCTCCCGATCTTGCCTGCCGGCATCTCAGGCTCTTGGGTTTTATTTATCGGGGAACCGATTTTCAGTACACTCTAAGCCTGTGTGATCCGAGCACTATCAAGGCGAATCTAGCAAGACGGCACCGGCAACCTTCATAAGAAACAGAAGTGTTGACGATATTGGCTGCCCTGAGCACAACAGCCCCGAAAGTATGGCTGCTGGCCTAAGCAATGCTATCAGCTCGTCATTGGTCTCCGCAGACGCAGCCGCTGGTTGCCTTGGAAGGCAGCAACAAACGAAGCGAAAGCCCAAAGACCCGTGTGGCAGCGATGGCTAAGAGAGCAACTGAGGCTCTGTATTTAGAAAGCACTTTAAGTGACGATGACAGTGTAGAAAGGTGAGCGACGTCCCAACGACCCTACTGAGCTGCTTGTCTGCCAACTCGGCTCATGTCGCTTCAAGTGGTTCCGACAAGAACCGGGCATCAGCGTGGCACCTGCAGCCAGTAGCACCTTGCCCCCAGTGGTTCGAAGCCCTTGCACAACAGCTCCGCAACGAAACGCACGAACGTTTTCCATGCTGGTCATGCTGAACGTGGGGCGAATGCTAGGCATTCCGTAATATCCATGGAAGCACGCACGGCAAGTATGATTTCCCAACAGTCACCAGATAAAAACACCGCCTGAGTTCTGAGTTTCATGCACATGCTTGCCGCACAAACCTATTCAAAGGCGATCTGGGCCTAGGAAGCTGCCCAGCCGAAAGCCTTTTGTGCCACGTTAAAAATCGGTGCCGCAGCCGCTCTTCAATCCTCCGAACTCGAAGGCTGCAGAGATTCGATTCAGAGAAAGACATACCTATACGCTACATTACCAAAAGCACGACACAGTTAGGCAACAGAGCGCAAACTCGGTACACCTGGGGAATGACCGAAGAGATGGGATGGCCAGACTGACTCGGTTTGCAATCTTAGACGCGTCTGTCCATGCCAAGCTCCCTCAGAAGTCAAAGCGCAGCGCTTTGCGCTCCGGTCTGTGCAGAGAGGCATGGGGTTTCATGCGAAAGGCCTTCCTGAACCGTGGCGACATGGGATGCTCTCCCCAACTGGACTAGAGCAATTCCATGCGCTTGCTCTCGTAGGCCCTTTTCGTTAAGACATCAAGAAGGTCTTCTGCGAGATACGGGTTCTAGTCACCTTCACCTGCTCGGCAGAACCGGCCAGGTGACATGAGTGAGACGTTCGAATGCCCAATCCTCAGAGGTTTTGGGCGTTCACAAAGGTTCTCGGGCTTTGACTTGTCATCGCCCAGCTGGCATCATTGGTACGGGAGCCCAAGGTGGGGGACAGTCTGTTTGGCCTTGGCCTTGGCATTCTTGGCCTTGCTTCCTCTCTTCTGCTTTTTCGTTGCTGGTGGCGCCCCTGCAGGAAAGCTTCTTACACCCCTACCAGGCACGACGAGCGTCGGTTCTGAGGATTCTTCCATCTTCGCCAACTCTAATCGCCAGCGACCGCAACCATGGACGGAAGCCTGTTCTGACTCCAACAGGGTTTCTATCACACGCCGGATTTCACAGAGGCGGGGCTTCTTGACGAGCTCCTCGCGTAGGGCACCTGCTAAGCCCAAGCACCAGTCCCCTCGTTTGGAGCATCTCACAGGAAGTGCCTTCAAGCAGGCGCCAAGAAGGTCACTCTCAGAACACTCGTCGATCTCCCTGACATACGACGGCGGCTTCACAACGAAGAGGATCTCTGTTTCATGATCCTGTTCACACAGGCGAAAGTTCTTCGAGACCTTTGCCAGGCTGCGGATTCGTCGCTCCGACATGAAGATCCAATCTGGCAGATCGTCTTGCTTCTTCAACAAGTAGCACATGCTTCGGATCGTCTTCAAGGTAGCGCGGACTCCTTCGTACTCGCACGCCAAAGTGCAGGCGTACCTTAAACCAGGACACGGAGAAGGCAAAGAACTAGAACTAGTCATCTTTGCTTATGCCGCTGACAAGAAACAAGCCAACTTCCAGCCAGTCCGTTGGGGCGCCCTGGTATCGTGAAGGCACCTGGGTCCTGAGATACAGCGCTGAGGGCCCAAGAGCGAAAGGTACTCAGTACTCTTTTGTTGCGAGAATTGCCACAGCTGTGGGTTGGGGAAAAGAAGCCCGGGCCATCCCGGGCGCCTAGGCTAAGGGCAGGCCTAGCCTAGGCGTCGGCCTTGCAGAAACGGGCTGGTTTAGCTTAGAATTAGGGGTGGGCTAGGCCTAGAGGTAGGCCTAGGGCGAGGCTGGGGGCCTGTAGAATGGTAGAGGCAGGCGGCCAGGGGTAGGCCTAGGGGGGAACCCTTATGAGAATTATTACTCTCACTACTATTACCAGTAAAAGTCTTCTCCAACATGCAGAAAGAAGCCACACGAAAACGCTTAGGGGGGTTAAAAGCGATAAATAAAATCAATCATGAATGATTTTGCAGGGTGGTGTGCCCCCAACTTCCCCTTGTTTAGACTGCAAACCTCGGTTTCTTCAGCGGCGAAGAAGTGAATAAAAACGTCTTTTGCACACAATAAAACATACGAAAACGCCTTAGGGTGTTGAAAGCAGAGAAAAATATGATCATGAGTGAAGCCTCTCTCCCGACGAAGGCGAAAGCCAGACGCACTTGCTTTGGAAGTGAGACAGCAAAAAACAAAGCAAGGAACATGTGGGCTTTCCGAAACACAAGAAGGAGAAAGCCACACGAAAACGCTTCAGGGAAGTGTATACCGAAGAAAATGAAATCAATTATGAAAGATTTGGAAAATTTGCAAATGGGGGGGGCTGCGCCTCCCCAACCCATCCTAGACAGCAAACTTCCCGCTCCCTTAAACCACGAAGAAATACATGTTTTGAAACCCATCATGCAATCTTCGTGCTTCGGGGTGTGTTGTAGATTGTTGTAGATATTTGAGGCGCCGCAAGTGTTGAATGAGAGGGCGTGTTGAAGATGTTGTAACTATATGAGGAATTGGAATCGCCAAATCAGGGGTCGTGTTTAAGATACATGCTGCATGAACCGCGGATGCCAAATGAGGGGGCATGCTTAAGGTAAAGGACGAATCCGAATGCCAAGATATGTGATGGACCAGAATCGCTTACGAGGGGGGCGCATATGAGTAGTAACTATGAGGAGCCGGAAACGCCAAATGAATTGCGACATGAGGGGGTGTGTTGTAAATAGAAGCACGAGCCGAAATCGCCAAATGAGGGAACGTGTCGTAGATAAATGAGGAACCATAATCGCGCAATGCGGAGGCCTGTTTAAGGTATATGGGGCGGAATCGCCAAAGGAAGGTGCGTACGTAAGATGTAGGATGAAAACGGAATCGTGAATTGAGGGGGCATGTTTCAGATATACGGTGAACCGGAATCACCAAATGAGAGGGCCGGTTTAAGATATATGATGGACCAGATTCGCTTATGAAGGGAATGTGTTTGAGATATATGCTTAATTAAGATGCACGATGAACCGGAAACGCGAAATGAAGGGAAGTGTTGTAGATACAATGGGGAGCCAGAATCGCCACGCGCTGCTCCTCCCCCCAACTCCCGCGCTTGCTGGAGCCGTGCAGGGCTGGGTCTCTCGGACGCCCCGGCTTTTTTAAGCCATGCGCGGTTGCAAGCAAGTGGTTGTGTTTGAAACCCGTCGTGGGAGCATTGCGTTTGCAAATGGGGGTGGCTGCGCCCCCCCCAACGCCCCCGCTTTTTCAGCCGTCCAAGCTTGCTTCAAAGCCTGCGGGTGCTTTTAAATCCTATGATTTTGAAAGCCCTGCAAGCCCGCTTCAAAATAAAGGAGTTGGCTTTTTTGAAAGCCATCATGCAATCTTCTTGTTGTGGGGTGTGTTGTGCAAGGTTGCAAGCCAGTGGGTCTTGTCGAAACCCTTCTTGGGAGCATTGCGTTTACAAATGGAAGGGGCTGCATGCCCCCCAACCCCCTCTGCTTTTTAAGCCGTCCAAGCTTGCTTCAAAGCCTGGGAGTGTTTTTGAATCCTATCATTTTGTAAGCCTTGCAAGCCTGCTCCAAACTAAATGAGTTGCCTTTTTTGAAAACCCATCATGCAATCTTCGTGTTTCGGGGTGCGCTGTACAAGGTTGCAAACAAGTGGTTCTTGTTGAAACCTATCATGTGACATTGCGTTTGCAGACGAGGAGGGCTGCGCCCCCCGCAACCACCCAACCACCTCGCTTTTTTGAGCCGTGCAAGCTGGCTTCAGAGCCTGGGAGTGCTGTTGAATCCTACCATCTGGTAAGCCTTGCAAGCCGGCTTCCAAACGAATGCGTTTCATTGGTTGAAACCTATCACGCAATCTTCGCGTTCCGGGGTGTGTTGTACAAGGTTGCAAGCATATGGTTCTTGCTGAAACCCATCATGTGACAAAGAGGTGTGCTTAAGATGTATGCTGAACCGCAATTGCCAAATGCGAGGGCATGTTGAAGATGTTGGAAGTGTGTGATGAACCGGAATCGCCAAATAAGGGTGCCTGTTTAAGATACATGCTGAATCAACCGCAATCGCCAAATGAGGGGGCGTGTGTATGGTAGAGGATGAACCCGAATGCCAAATGAGTACTGTAGACCGGCCTACCCTACCCAGGCCTATCCCTCGGCCTACCCTGGCTTCGCCCTGGCCCTATCCCTAACTCCTGGCCTACCCCTAGCTTGGCCCTAGGCCTATCGAGAAGTCCCAGAAGCGGGCCGTCTAACTCTCAGGGTTGCGGAAAATCGGAGCACAATTCAAGCCCTCGATGCGACATGAACCTAGACTCGGACTCGGACCTAAACGATTCAGACAATACATGTGTGACTGAGGCTCGACTCTCAATGCTGGCAACACGTCCCTGGCAGGGGTGCCGCCTGCAGAGGGTTAAGAGAAAAGTGGGGACACGAAAGAAGGCCTCCCAACTCCCATTTGCATCTGAGAGGCAGATGGCTCTCGGTCAACGGTGATTCGTTGGCTTCGTACTGCTGGCTGTCCTGATGTCGGAGGACGCGATAGACATGGGAGCAGGAGAGCCTTTCGAGCCGACATAAATGCAACACATCTTGCTTTGAGGGCTACAGCTGCCGCCTCCTCTGTGGGCGTCATTTCTTCGTCCACTTCGGTGGTGTCGACTTCTTCGCAATCTTGCGGGTTTTCCGCGCGTAGCCTTGGCAAGGGATGCAGCTCTGAAGCATTGAAAGTCGTGAGTAGGGAGCAGCTGCTGCTGTGGAGCTCTTTCATGAGCAGCTTTTCGACCAGGTCTTCTTCGAAAAAAGTCTTCAGCAGCTTCTTCTCCACTTCCTTGGGCTCCGCGTTCGTAGATGCGGTCATTGGAGTATGTTGAATCGGGTGCCTCAAGCGGCGGATTCGATTCCGGCTGATTCGAGCCAGCTAGCAGAGCCACCCAGCAATCGACCATCTAGCTTGCAACTTGACCCAAGCATCACAAAGCAAGCTCTGCAATGCACGCCGCTTTTGGAGCAAAGCTTTGCTCGCAACAGTCTTGACATGCATGGGGAGCCTGGGACTTGCAAACTTCGACTCTGCTTTTTGAAGTGACTGTTAGGCTTTTTGCCATCACGGCCATGAGCTCGGCAGCATGCAGCTCCCAGGCATAGTGTGACACTGTCCGGCTTCAGCTTCGCTTTCAAGACAGGGAACTGCTATAACGTCCAAGCACCATCCCGTTTTCTGTGCCAGCACTCTTCTCGACTAAGATGGACTGAGAGTATTCAACGGCAGTCCCGTGACGATAAGCTGTGGAGAGCCTGAGGCCCCCACACGAGAGACTAGCTACAGGCGGAATTCGCACGAAATGCTGGCATCACATCCACCGTTCTGGGAGTGACCATCTCAGGGCTGCCGATGAGTTTTAGTCGACACCCAGTACCTCGGTAGAAAGATCCAATTAGCGAGGTCCTTCACCCAGCATGGCTTGTTCGTACTTTTGTCAACGTGCTGGCGCGTCCGGGCGAGGGGCGTCTGCATTTACTTCCGCCCGGGATTCTCGCCATTTGGACACGCTGTGCATTTACGATGAAGCCCAGCAAGCAACAGACAAGACCATCCCAGTTCCTGGTTTATCGTTGAGTGGTCTTGACTCTTGCGTGCAGCAGGCAATTCGAATTCATTGCATGCCTACTCAGAGATGCCAACCGACGGCACCATGTCTTGATTCATTTTCTTGAAGCCGACTAACTCCTTGAAGATGTACCTCAGCAGAGAGATCACTGCTGAACGGAAACCTAGTATGTCACAGCATGAGCCTCATTCCGAGGGCTTCGCAATCCGCTTTTTGGATGTCGGGTTGCATTGCTCGCCGACTCTTGCTGAGCTGATAAGCAGAATTCCTCTTGAAACATGAAACCTCGTCGATTGACCTCTGAGATCAATATTGATCGCAAAACTCCCGAAACTGGGCTGCTGGCTCGACGATCTTCTTGGCCGGATCTTTGGAGGAGCGCTTGTCGCCCAACTTCTGCGAGACGCCGAGGATCTCCCCCGCCTCCGTGGAGCGGTGAAAGGCTTTGGAAAACAGTAGAGTCGGAATGTCGCTAGACTCTAGTCGGAAGTTCTGCTTCGTTAGGTCCGGGGAGGAGATGCATCGCAGAGTCTCTTGCAGGCTCCAGGACCCCACAATCGAACTCATACTCTGCACACCAGACTGGTGAAACCCTCTGGTCACCAACCGGCCTGTCGAATATAGAAGTCGAGGTCGTCGTCCGTGCACCTGAGCGACCAAAATTAGTGCTGATGAGGGTGTGCAAAACGTCGCAAGTGCTTGCGACGCCCGGTCGGGCAAGTACTTCTTTGCTGCTCTGCACGGCATACTTCGGCGAAAGCCAATCCGAGCTTGTGACTTGTTGGTGAGCTGCGCTAAGCGCACCCGTTCCGAGGCGAACTGCTCGTCCTCCGCGGCATGTCATGCTGGCTCTCTGGCAACCTCTGCTACCAGAGAGTCCAAACCATGGCTACCCGAATCGCGGCATCGGATGTTTGTTGACAGGCAAATCCCTACATGGGGAAGACCCTGGATAAACGCCACTGAATTCAAGCTACAGCCCCATGTCCAGGTCGAACAAGTCCAGGCTTGGTGGCGGCGGTTCCCGCAGGCAGGGAGGGAACACCTCGTCAGAGCATTCGCAAAAATAGTCTCCTCTTCTTTACGGGTCCCGTGGGTGATGCAAGCTGCAGATCCATAAGAGTCACAAAGTGAGCGTCTGAATCAGTGACCACATACCCTGTTTCTTGCGGCAGGAAAACAACGGCTGCAGCCGGTCTCAACAAAAAGATGATCCGAATCGCAGCACCCGTGTTCACAAAATCGACCCTTCGCACCCTCGAGACTGGACCTTTGAGCACGAACATCAGACTCGTTGAGAACAAGAAAAGGAGGTCAAGAGGAAGCCTCTTGCTCCTGCATTAATTTGTTGCTTCCTCATAGCTCTTGCAACTAGGATGTTGCTGGCCAAACCTGTAATTCACTTATATGCGTACGTAGGTATGTAGCTATAAGTATAGGGGGCGAATGGGCTGGAGGGCGAGTCTAATAAGGGATGGACACTCAACCTGAGCAATCCAAGTCTATTTAATAGTCTATTGGGCAAGGAGGAACAGGTTACAGGGTTAAGGATTGTTGACCTGAATCTCCCAATTCCACTCAACACACACCACGCGGGCACTTCCGGAACTTGCCAGAGGTCTCGAAAGAGGTGGACGTACGATTAACACATGTCGTGTACACTGCAACATGTACGTCGTACATGCAACGTATACCGGTATACCTCTGATCTCTGCTGCACCTCGGCCCCAAGTGCTCTGAAGGAGCTCCGGGGCCCCAGGCTGCCGGCTGTAGTGCAGGCATCGGAGTCTCGAACTGTGGAGGAATCAGCGTCAGCCTAGCGAGTGAATAGTCGGGATCAGGCCAGAATGGTCACAAATACCTGTGGTCCAGTCAGACCCCGACGGCTCGTGCTTGACACCCAGCTGGTGGTACAACTTCACAGCCTGAACGGAGCAGAAGGGCAGCAAGTTCCAGGCCACTCAGAGTATCGAGCTCATCACATGGAGGCCCATCACACTGCGTGTCTGTAGATCTGCACACAGCTGCGACCGCTGTCTTGCGATGCTGGGCTCTGGTTCGTCAACCACACACACACACACACTCACACACGTCGAACCGGTGAAACTTGTGGAGGACATGAGTACTGAGACAATCCACCTTCTGGACATCCCAACTGATACTCTTAGACGCTCTTGGAAGCTAGTGGCACCACATCGCAGGGAAGGCCACAAGAGACCGTCAGTGCAGACAAATGCGCGCAGTTTGCGCCAGTTGTGGTGAAAGTCAACTCGCACAAAGGTGCTGGAGTCATTTCTTTGAAAGGCAGCTACTATACTAGAATAAACACAGCGAGCTCAACTATCCCACTCAGCAGGATCGAGGCAGAGAGCTCGCTCTCATCCTGGGCAGAACAGCATCTAATCTACACATCCACTTCTCCGAAGGCACATGGTCCACACCAAACAACCACCGGCAGATGCCGAAGCAGTGGCTCCACTCCCGGAGACACAAAGATCGGCCTGTCCATCTTCAGGGAGTGGATCATGTGCCGCACGTTGGAGCTTGTCTCCTCCGGCCTGACGACCTGAAGTTGCTGGCGCCAAGGCCAAGGACTCTATACTCCGTCCGTTAAGATCAAACACCATACGGATGTTGATCTTGTTGATTTGCAACCATGTACAAATACTTCAAAACACGCACATGACAGATGCAAAGGTCGAGTCGAGAAATAAACATAGATGTAGAACGATGACGGAAAGAAACACAAATGGTTTGGGAGTTTGCCTTCGTTTACCCGACTGACCACAAGCTCGTGTTGTAGCTTTGCTTGGTCCTCTCTCTTTCCCGGCACTCAACCCCGCCCCTAAAACACACAACACATCCAACACCCCCCTACTCTCCAAAACTCTCCATTCTTGGAGGCTTCTGGAGCCCGAGCTGGGCCGAAAGTCTGGCGATGGAGTGAGGTCAGGCCGCCCGATCCTTGCTCCACGAGGGCTTGCCGTCGCAATTCGGGGCTGAGGGCTTGGGAGTCTGCGGTGTAGGTGGTACAGGCCTAGGGTCAGGGATTTGGGGAGAGTTTCGCGCATGATGTGGGATGAAGGTCGTTGGGGTTGAGGCAGGGGGCTTAAGTTTCCCGCAAGGCTTGCTGACAAAATCTACCAAGAGCACAAGAAGGCATGCCTAACGAGGGGTATCGAGGGGTGCAGCCGCACTTGGACCGAGGAGGAATGGCTGCCAAGTTGAGGGTCATCTTTGTTGTCATTTACTGTCACATGCATTGGCTGCATAGTGGCTCTGCGGCCGCAGACAGCTGTGGGCGTCGCAGCTACAGGCGCAGTAGAGCATCGGATCAACAGATGGAAATCTGGAAGCAGCTCCTCGTCATGGAGCTAGTTTATTTCCAAGTACAGCTGAATGCGTTGGAACAAAGAACGTCATTGTAACTCTGCCTTCACAAACAACATAAACCGGGCCAGCCAAATCCGAATTTTCGATTGGAGTTGCCCTACTATTGCTTTCTGTTCGATCCGGTGATCGGGCAACCCCGCACCAATTCCCAAAACCTGAAACCCGAAACTTTTGAGAACATGGAGCGTTCCCTACTGCTGCAAAGCATTGCATCATAGTGCTGATGAGTCTTTCAAAACAGGCTCCGGATGGTGGTTTTAGAAGACGACTCCAATCAATCTACGTATGATAAGGGTGGCTTCTGAGAGGAAGAACCCAAATAGTGCTGCCCAAGGTGCCCTCCCAGCTTCCGAGCAGAGACCTGCAACGGCTCGGCCAGCGACGTCCATCGAAAATTCTACTATAATTATATACTCAAACTATGAAGCTCTCTTGTCACAAGCCGCCGGCTTGGCCGTGATATGCTTTGTGAGAAGTTCTATGACAAGCACGACCCCGACGAGAGTATCAAAAAGCTACGACGGACAAACCTTGTTTTGATGGTTTGATAGCGCATTCGCGCCGGGTCCGTCGCCTTCGCCAGTACTAGGCTTGCCGGCGCCGTGGAGGCCTTCACCTACCCGGCCCGCTGACCCAGCCGGCGGCTCAGGAGCCGGCTGCGTCGAGGTTCGTCGATGCTGCCGAACACACTGGCGGATCGACGACGGCAGTCCTCGACTGGCGCCTGTTGGCCGCTGCCGACGCCTGTGCGTCGCTGTAGCTGTGCAGCCCGCCAGCGAACGACGCTGTAATGGAGTCCACCCGCCCATGTGGATGTCGACGGGCACGTCGTGGTCCAGGGTCGCCTGGATCGTCGCAAAGGCGGCGGCCACCTGGGCTGCAGTGGGGAATCCTGCAGACGACGACATGGCGTCGAGATGGGCTGAGGCTGAGAGCTGAAAATCGTCGGGCGACGCAAAGCCAAATGCTGCGGCGAATTCGTCGTTCGACGTGCTTGTCCCTGCGCACATAAATGTGCTACACAGAAAGGCTTCAATGTGTTGGCTACCGCGTGAGTTAGGCACGCATTCGCGTGTTG